TCGTTTTCAGTCCACTATAAAAAAACAACATGCCTGTTTAAGCATAATGAATTATTTCAACATAAGGTTTCAAAGCGCAATTTTGAGTTAAAGTAGAACTGCAACTGCTGAATGACTCAGCTACTATCGTATTTGGAAACCCTTCCATCTGTTTTCCTTGGGCACAGGGCATAATTTAAAATCTTCGTTTTGTGGCAACTGTTATTAGCTAATTGGTGGAAAACTGATTTTCCCACAAAAATACAACTTTGAAAAACTAATTAAACCTGTTAGCAAAATATGTGAAAATCAGTGAAATCTCAAAACATTTCAGACTCAGTCCTGCCATGAAACAAAGGTTCTGCAAAGCAACAGGACCATGCATCGTCGGGCTTCGCAGGACGGCAGCCTCGGTCCGAACAGCAGCTCAGGTTCTCGCCCACTTACGCCTGAAGTGTCGAGAACAGCTTGCTGGCCAGTATTCGGAGGTCTTTGGGTTTGTAACGACACTACTGACATTCTTATGTACAAGTCTCTTTTATACTTACTTGTGTATTATTAAAATCTACTTTTTCTAAATCTGTAGAAGAAAAAAATATTCATGTGGAAGAGACCTGTCCCAGCTGCCACGGCATTCTGGCAAAGCCGTATTTTGTCTCTGCACGTCTGTGTGTGATGCCACATGTAACAGACACCCCAGTCTGGGGTAACGGCACCTATGCGTGTACGGATGGTCCCTGTAATTGCATCATCTTTTCAAAGGCACATCAGCTCGGGTCTGGAAACATCCCTTTGCTAAGAACAAGGGGCATACTGCTACACCTGTGAAAAACACAATGCTAAGCACAAACGTATTAGAGGGTCAGAGCAGGACTGATCTGCGTGGCGCAATTTGTGTTTTATTTTGCCCCAGACCTCACCAACCTCTGTCTTTAGTATCGTGCGCATCTTCGAGAGGAGGTTCTACATAAAAGTGCCTTACTAGATTGGCTCTGTGCATGTGAATTTTTAATATGACACCAGTTGCACAGTCCTAAATAAAAAATTGGTAAATTCAGCTGCTTAATATATATGAAATTAATAAATACTGCATTTCTTAAAGGAGGATAAACGTCTTGCTTCTGCAGTATTATCTTGCTGTTGATGGTACCATATAAATAGTAAACCAAGTTGAATAATTCAGGGGTTCTCAATAACACTAGAGTGGAAATTCATCAGGTATCGTATTCATCAGTTATTGCATTGGCTGGATGGTCGCACTCGAAGTGCTGCGGTCAATGGCTTGTTGTGCAAATGGAGACCAGTGATGAGTGGCATTCCTCAGGGGTCAGTACTGGGGCTGCTCCTGTTTAACATCCTTGTTGGAGACATGGGTGGTGGGACTGAGTGCACCCTCAGCAAGTTTGCCAACAACTCCAAGCTGTGTGGTGCAGTCAACATGTTGGAGGGAAGGGATGCCATCCAGAGGGACCTGAACAGGCTGGAGAGGTGGGCCTGTGCGAACCTCATGAAGCTCAACTAGGCCAAGTGCAAGGTCCCACACGTGGGTCAGGGCAATCCCAGGCACAAACACAGGCTGGGCGGAGAATGGACTGAGAACAGCTCTGAGGAGAAGGACTTGGGGGTACTGGTAGATGAGAAGCTCAGCATGACCCAGCAGTGTGCACTTGAAGCCCAGAAGGCCAACTGTATCCTGGGCTACATCAAAAGCAGCGTGGCCAGCAGGGCGAGGGAGGGGATTCTGCCCCTCTGCTCCACTCTGGTGAGACCCCACCTGGA